AGCTAAGCTGCAACCATGAAGGCAAAGACTGTTACATTAAGGAAGAGAGAAACTGAATGCATGGAGTAAAAGGAAAATCTTAGGGACAAGTAATAGGAAGGAAAATAAAACAGGATAAGACTTAGGATACAGATTGAAAGGAGTTGCAATTTAAAAATAGGGTTCTGAAAAGTCTTCTCTAAGAAGTGATGTTTGAGCAGAGATACAAAGCAGGTGAGAGGACAAGCTTGTCTGAGTGTGTGTGTTCTAAGCAGAGGAGACAGAAGTTACAAGGGCTTTAAGGAAAGAGCGTGTGGAGGGTGTGCAAGTTCCAGCAGTGAGGTCAGTGTAGCTGAAGAGGACTAAGAGGGGACTCCAGAAGATGGCGGCCATTTTGGGGGTGAACCAATGGAAGGAAGACCTTTCTCTCTGTCTCACTAACTCTGCCTGTCAAAAAAAAAAAAAAAAAAAGTAGTGGAAAACCAGACCATGTAAGACCTTTTTAGCTCACGTAAAAATTTACTTTGAAATGTAAAACATCTGGAAAATTTAAAGCAAATGAGTGCAGTGATCTGAAAGGATTATTTGACTGCTGTGTAGAAAAGAAACTGGCAGGGAAGGTAGAGAAGCCGGAAACGAGGCCAGACAAGAACCTGTTCATTTGTCCATGCTTTAAGATGTTGTTCATTCAGACCAGGGTAGAGGTGAAAGAGAGGTTGGATTTAATACATAATTTATGAAAGACTTGTTATTTAGCTGTGTGTAGTTATAACCTTAACAACTTTCAAAAGAGCTGTGAACAAAAATGGTTGTCTGTGGGTGAAGGTGCAATGATGTTTTTAGTCATAAACTCAAGTGTATTGCTTTTTCAAAAAACTGTGCATGGGTTACCTTGATGTTTAAAACTACTTTTAAAAGTTTAAAGAAACAGAACATTTTACCTTTGAAATTTTTCTGTCAGAATATATAGCCTACTTTATTCTTTTTTTTAAGATTTTATTTTATTTATTTATTTGAAAAAGTTACAGAGAGAGGTAGAGACAGAGAGAGGTCTTTCATCTGCTGGTTCACTCCCCAGATGGCCACAGTAGTTGGGCTTTTTCTCTGCCTCTGCCTTTCTGTAACTCTACCTTCCAAGTGAATAAATAAATATTTTTTAAAAAAGAGTTAGTGACCATTAGAAAGGAAAGCCAAGTACTATAGCATAAGATCTCTTGGTCTGTTTCTGTTTCTGTAAAATGAGAGATTGGGACTCAAGGGCTAGCATATGCTAGTGATTGACAGCAAAGATGTGAAAGCCCTACAAATATGCATTGGGATTCTCGCTAGTTTTCTAATCTTGGATCTGTTTTATTCTGTCTGGGCCTCTGGGGATAATTATATCCCTAGCTAATATGACTGCTGGGAAAACTGTGTACATGTATATTTTTAAAGATTCACTTATTTGAGAGGCAGAGTTACAGAAAGAGAGGTCTTCTATCCACTGGTTAACTCCCCAGATGGCCACAACGGCTGGAGCTGGGCCCATCCAAAGCCAGGAGCTTCTTCTATGTCTCCCACATGGGTGCAGGGGCCATCTTCCACTACTTTCCCAGGCCATTAGCAGCGAGCTGGATTGGAAGTGGAGCAGCCAGGACTTGAAACGGTACCCATATGGAATGCCGGCACTGCAGGCAGAGTCTTAACCTACTACAACGGCCCTATGTATGTGTGTGACCATATATTTGTATATGTATATATATATATATTTGTATATATGTATATGTATATATATATTTGTATATATTTATATATATGTATATATATAAATAATCTCAAATATTTAGAACAATTCCTGTTGCATAGTAAGCCAGATGAAGTCCTTGTTATGTCTGATGATCTATTGTTACATGGTCATCTCTTGTGAGACTGACGTTCCAAGGTAGAGCTCAGGGCCAGAGACACAGGTTAATCATTTCTTTTTAAGTTATTGCTAAATGGGTGGAATGAGATGCCAGAGGGGAAAATGAAAAGAACGTACACGTGGTAAGGGCAGAATGTTGAGGAGCACTTACATTAGGAAACAAGAGGCAGGAGGGGCCAGCCAGCAAAGGAACATTGAGAGAAAGGAAAGGAAAACTAGAAGGTGCTCTAATGAAAGCAACTGCAATAGAAAAGATCAAGGGAAGATGATCTTTCAGAATAGAGACCACGTGAAACAAGTTTGAAGGTTTATAGAATATGTCTGATGGGAAGGGAGAAGTTGAAGATGAAAGCAAAGGAAATTAATTGATGGAACACAGTTCTATTTAAGTGACAGGTTTAGCCTCAAGAGGAGGGAGGATAATTTCTTTCTTTGTATCAGGATAAAAGAGGGGAAGCCTATATGATAATGCACACAAACCCCATATTGAAAATTTGGAAGTCAAGGCAGCTCATGTTAGATATTTTCAATTTGTTTCCACTAAATAGGAAGCAAGGTTGTGTAGAGAGAGAGGGAGGTACAGAATAAAACTGAAGAGAGTTTATAAGCAGCTTTAAATGTTTTCTCTAATTCTGCCCTTTCTATGAGTAGGAAACAAATGATCTATTTCATTATAACAGATAATATGAATATTGATTGAGCCTCTGTTGTCTGCCAGGTATCATGCTAAGAGCTCATTTCAAACTTAAAACATATCTAAGGAGCAAGTGATATTAATACTATTTTCCACCTATTAAGGAGTAATACATGAGACAGACAGAAGATAGAAAATTGCTCATGGTTACCCAGGTGATATGGGGTAAACCCAAGATGAAATACCAGATCTGCCTAGCTGTGCACCCTTATGGATCATGCTTTCTGAGGTTTTACTTTCACATTTCATTAAAGTAGTGAAATGTTGGTTCAAGAATATACTTGGATTATTGAGATAGAAAAGTATATGAATACAATGGAATCTAACTTCAATAAAATTAATATTTTAAAAGAAGGAGAGAGAGAAGATGCTTTGTTTGGTAGATGCTGCTTTTCCATTTGAAAAAAAAATTTTAGTGAATTTGACCCCATATTTTGAAAATATCAAATAGAAACCAGAATACTGGTTGTCCAAGGCAGAATAAAGATTGACTGAGAGTCACAAGGGAACTTTTGAAGTGAAAAGAATGTTCTACAGTTTGGGGTATTGTTTACATAGGATTTTTTTTGTTCAAAATTCATCAAATTGTACATTTAATTTTTTTAAAAAAGATTTATTTATTTGGGGCTGGTGCTGTGGTGCAGCAGGTTAACGCCCTGGCCTGAAGCACCAGCATCCCATATGGGCGTCAGTTCGAGACCCGGCTGCTCCACTTCCAATCAGGCTCTCTGCTGTGTCCCAAGTCCTTGGGCCGCTGCACCCACGGGGGAAACCCGGAGGAGGCTTCTGGCTCCTGGCTTCGGATCGGCGCAGATGCGGCAGTTGCGGCCAGTTGGGGAGTGAACCAACGGATGGAAGACACTCTCTCTCTCTCTCTCTGTCTCTCTCTCTCTGTCTCTTTCTCCCCTCTCTGTGTAACTCTTGATTCTCAAATAAATAAATAAATCTTAAAAAAAAAAAAAGATTATTGTCTGGCGCCGCGGCTCAATAGGCTAATCCTCCGCCCTGCGGTGCCGGCACACCGGGTTCTAGTCCCGGTCAGGGAGCTGGGTTCTGTCCCGGTTGCCCCTCTTCCAGGCCAGCTCTCTGCTGTGGCCCGGGAGTGCAGTGGAGGATAGCCCACGTGCTTGGGCCCTGCACCCACATGGGAGACCAGGAGAAGCACCTGGCTCCTGCCTTCTGATCAGTGTGCTGCGCCGGCCACAGCGCGCTGGCCGCGGCGGCCATTGGAGGGTGAACCAACGGCAAAGGAAGACCTTTCTCTGTCTCTTTCTCTCTCACTGTCCACTCTGCCTGTCAAAAAGATTATTTATTTAAAAGTCAGAGTTACACAGAGAGAGGGAGAGAGAGAGAGGTCTTCCATCCACTGGTTCGCTTCCCCACGCCAATCCAAAGCCAGGAGCCAGGAGCTTCTTTCGGGTCTCCCACGTGGATGCAGGTGCCTAAGGACTTGGGCCATCTTCTACTGCTGTCCCAGGCCATAACAGAGAGCTGAATCGGAAGTGGAGCAGCTGGGACTTGAACCGGCACCCATATGGGATGCTGGCACTGCAAATGAATGGCTTTACCCGCTACACCACAACGCTGGCCCCATACATTTAATTTTTTAAAAGATTAATATATTTATTTGAAAGGAAGAGTAATAGAAAGGAAGAGACACACGGAGAGAGCCTCCATCTGTTCATCCACTCTCCAAATGTTCTCTGCAGCCAGGGCTAGGCCAGCCCAAACCAGGAGTCTGGAACTCCATCACTTGGGCCATCTTCTGCTGCTGCTTTCCCAGGAACATTAGCAGGGAGCTAGATTGGAAATGGAGCAACCAGGACCCAAACTAGTGCTCATATGGGATGTTGGTGTCACAAGTGGCTTAATCCACTGTGTTACAATGCTGCCCCAAATTGTGTATTTAAAATTTATATATTACACTGTGTAAGTTTTCTCAGTTTTAACAAGGTTAACAAGGGAAATCTACGTGTAGATCTTTAGGACATTGTTATATGGAAAAAGAGTATGAGGCATAGAATATGCAATCATTTATATAAGAAAAAAAAAACTGAACAAAATTATTTCTGTGGATCCATACTCACATATGTAAATATAGCAACTACCCCACTCCACCACACTTCTAGTGTCAGTCTTATATGCTGTTAAGTTTCTTTCTAAGATGCAAAGAAAAACTTTTTTATATTTTAACATCTTCAGCATGAATGTCATTTTCTCACTGGTATATTCTCCAGTGAGGAAAGAGCCATTTAATCTCTCTGAGCCTTATTTCCTTTTGGTTGAGTAAATGGACTGATGGCTGAAGATCTTCCAAGATTCAGTGAATCCTGTTCATTCATACAGATGTTACATGAAATATGTCACTCAACCTAAAATAGCTATGTGGAAAGTAAGATGTTTTGCTTTTATGTTTTGAAACAGGTGACAACCAAAGCCAAGCAACTGAAGGATTCAGTTACCTCCTCCCCAGGTGAGTTAGTAGCCACTTTATCCCATTAATTTAAAGTGGTTACTTCAAAATAAATCTCTTTTTAAGTAAACTTCTTTAAATATACTGTGCTGTGGTAGTTTGGTGCAGTGGACTCTAGCCATCATTATCTCTTAAAAAGTGTTGAATTACAAGTATCAAATCTAGCTCTGCATTACAGTTGGTACTAACAAGAGGCTTGGATTTAGCCTCGCAGGTAAGACACCACATCCCACATTGCATTGATTGTGGGCCCTGGCTCCTGACTCCAGCTTCCTGCTATTGCAGACCCTGGGAAACAGCAAAGATGGCTCAAGTAATTGGGTTTTTGGCACCTATGTGGGAGACCTTCAGCTCTGGAAGTTGCAACATCAGGGGAGTCAGCCAGTGGGTGACAAAGCTCACTTTCATGCTTTCATGGGTACCTTTCAGACTTTGAAACCGAAAGGTTTAGAGAAAAACTGGCTGAATAGGGTGACACACAAGGCAGAAATGAGCTGCTGCTGCTGCAGATAAGAGTCACCACCAAATTCAAGTTTTTGGCACTTTTTTGTGAGAGTTGTGATAGTAAACATGAAAAGAATATTTGTTATTAGAAACTCAAGAAAATACAGATAAAAAAAGGATGAAAATAAAAATCACATGTAATCTACTCACTGTTACTTTGAGAGATGTTTCTTACTTTTTTGATACACAAATATGTACATAATTTTATAACAATGAAACTGTACCATAATACTGTTTTACATTTTTTCACTCCATGTACTCATGTAAAAATATGTCTGTCATCATTTTAATGGTGTGAAAGTAGCCCATAATATAGATTCCCCATGGTTTAACAAGTTTTATTACTGAACATTTTTATTCTTTCCTTTTTTTTTATTTTTTCATTTTATTGTCATGAAGTATTGGTCTCCAAAATGAAATTCACAGGATGATCCTTTAGAATATAAGAAGACTGTATTAGAATCTACTGATTTGTATTGTTATCTTAAAATGGAAAAGAATTAAGCCTTCTCATATTTAATATACAGACTTATGTCCATGTTTCACTGTATCCATTATCAGAGGGTACATGTGACATATGGCACCCAGGTGTCCTTAGGGAAAAGTGAGAATTCCACAATGCTGAAAGTTAGAGTGACCTTATCACTCATGCTTTCACTTTCAATAATGCAACAAAATACCCAGGTGAGTGAATTTATAGATAACTCTAGACTCAAGTGATACACAACCACAGAAATATTTACAGTCACACAGACACTTCCTGCTATATTTTGACAAAGTAAATACTTTTAAAAATTACCGAATTTCCCTGCAATGCACATGGGTGACCCAGATTGAGTCCAGGCTCCTGGCTTCATCAAAACCCAGCCCCAGCTATTGTGGGCATTTTAGGAGTGAACCAACAGAGGAAGATATCTGTCTTTGTCTCTCTGCCTTACAAATAAATAAATGAAATACAAACAATGAATGAAATGAAATTACAAACAAATGAAAATACATAAATAATTTTTTAAGTTGTTGAATTTGAAGATTGTCAATTTCACCTTTTCACCCAAATAGCTCTAAATTTTCTGGCCAATATTAAAATAAATTGTTTCTACAAAATATACTTTTTAACAATAAATGTGGAAGTAATTTCTTTGAACCATTTTTAAGCTGTAGAAAGAAAATAGGCAATTAAAAATATTTCTTCATTTGATAATTATTCTGTGTGGCCAAAATAATGTGACTTACAAAAACTTGCATTTCAACAGATGAAATATTAAAAATAGAATTTGAAACTTGCAAACAATTTGAATTCATTTGTTGAAAATATAGAAGTGTAACACCTTGCATTTTTGCAAAAACAACTTGTAAATATCAAAGTACAGTACATATAGCCAGCAGTACATTACACTTGGATGTATTTGGCTTTGTGAGTTATCTTTTTCTACTATGATGGCCTTAAAACTCAGATGCCAAAATAAACTAAATTTGTAGCTAGCCCTTTTTTTTTTTTTTTTTTTTTTTTTTAGTACTACAGAGAGGAGGAGGAAAGAGAGAAAGTGTGTGATTCCAAATGGTGGTTCATTCTCCAAATGGCTGCAGTGGGCCAGGCCGAAGCCAGGAGCTTCATCTGAATCTCTTACATGGATGTCAGGAGCCCAATCTATTTTTCCTGGGCCACTAGCAGGGAGCTGGATTGGAGATGGAGCAGTGGGGACACAAACTGGCACCCACATGTTATGCCAGCATTGCAGATAGTGGCTTCCCCTGCTACACCACCACACCAGCCTCTTGTTGTTTTTATTATTATTAATATTTTCCTAAGAATACTTTGTCATTTAATATTTCTTTCTAAATTTTTATTTATTTGAAAGGCAGCCGGGGAGAGAACTTTCATCTGCTGGCCTGCTCCCTAAATGCCTGCAACAGCCAGGGCTGGGCTAGGCCAAAGCCAGGAGCTCAGAAGTCAATCTGGGTCCCCCATATGGGTGGCAGGTCCCCAAGTACTTGAGCCATCACTTCCAAGGAGTGCATTGGCAGGGGCTAGAATCAGAAGCAGAGCCAGGACTCAAACTCAGGTATCCCAAAAGAAATGTAGTCATCCCAAGCAGCATCTTAACTGCTGTGACAGACTCCCAACCCACTTAATATTTTTAGATTATTGTTTTTCTTTTTTTTTCTTTTCTTTTCTTTTTTTTTTTTTTTTTGACAGGCAGAGTGGACAGTGAGAGAGAGAGAGAGAAAGGTCTTCCTTTGCCATTGGTTCACCCTCCAATGGCCGCCGCGGCCGGCGCGCTGCGGCCGGCGCACCACGCTGATCCGAAGCCAGGAGCCAGGTGCTTCTCCTGGTCTCCCATGGGGTGCAGGGCCCAAGCACGTGGGCCATCCTCCACTGCACTCCCGGGCCACAGCAGAGAGCTGGCCTGGAAGAGGGGCAACCGGGACAGAATCCGGCGCCCCGACCGGGACTAAAACCCAGTGTGCCGGCGCTGCAAGGCGGAGGATTAGCCTATTGAGCTGCAGCGCCGGTGATTATTGTTTTTCATCATATCTTTAAATTTATTTTCTCTTTCATATGTGTTTTATAATAATATACTGATAGTCTGATATGTAGATATAATTTACAAATGTGCGTATATTGAGTTATATATTATTTGTTGATGGGACACATAACCATTTATGGAGATCATGCTAATGACATGTGCACACTAAGACCTCATTTCATGAATATGCATAATAAATTCTGCACATGTAAAAATCCTGGGCCAGCATTGTGGTACAGTGAGTTAAGCTGCCACCTGAGATGTTGGCATCCCATATTGGAGCGCCAGTTTGAGTTCAGGGCTGCTCCACTTCCATTCCAGCTCCATGCTGATGCACCTAAGAAGGCAATGGGAGATGGCCCATTTGGGCCCCTGCCACTCACATGGGAGACCTGGATAGAGTTCCTAGCTCCTGCCTTCGGCCTCCTGGTGCAACCCTGGCTGTTGTGGACACTGGGGAACTGAACCAGCAGGAGAAGATTTCTCTCCCTGTCTCTCTGCTTGTCTCTATGACTGCCTTATAAAAGAGAATACAATAAGAATTTATCTTTCAGTTTGGGTACATTCTTCTCAGGCCTGGCCAGCCACAGTTATTACAGCCATTTGTGAAGTAAACCAATGAAAGGAAGATGTATTTTGCTCTTCTTCCCTCCCTCTTTCTCCTTCTCTGTCTGCCTTTCAAGTTAATAAATAAAGTTTTTTAAAATCTTAGTTCCTCAGTGACATATCAAATGGTTAATAGAATCAGAGATTTTTTTATTGGGCAGCCCTGAGCCAGACCGGTTTCTGTTTCTACTACAAAATATGAATATATGTATTTTGAGTATCTTCCCCAGTGCTGGGTGATGTCATACTTTCTGATCTTTACCAGTTTAATAATTGAAAGGTGATTGGGGGCATGCATTATTGTGGGGAGCAACTCGGACTAGACTAAGTTACTGGAATTAAGACTTATTCTATGCATCTGCTCTCCCACAATATGGCGCTGGGAGAGGAGTAAACAGCTTCTACACAGCTGCCTCCAGTTCAACCAATAAACTGCAGGACCTGCTCCTGATTGGAGGAGAGCAGCATACTCGGCGTGTGGGTAGCAGAGTTGGGATTGGTGGAAGAGGACTATAAAGGAGGAGAGAGACAACATGCACTAGGAACATCTAAGGGGAACATCTATCTGAAGGAACACCTGAGCAGCCCCCGAGAGAGCCGGCCGGCGGTGTGCCCCTCCCCCGCGGAAGTGGGGAAAGTGGCAGGGGGAACCGCCCTTCCACGGAGGTGGAAGGGACGGTAGCCAACCCGGGAAGAACCAGCAGCCAACCCGGGAAGGGCCGAGCAGACGAAAGAACAGCGCAGGGTCCTGTGTCATTCCTCCGCAAAGAGGGGGAGCGACACATTATGTCATGACATATCTTTCTCTGCCTCTCAAATCAATCTTTTTTAAAAAAGAGATACTGCTACTTTAAAAAATGAAAAATGATAATTTGCTTATTTGTAGTACATATTAGTTATTTGTGTTTCTTCCTTTGTTAATCATGAATTTTTGTTCTTTGTCCTTTCGTGTTACTATAACCTGCCATATTGATGGTATTAATGCTGTGTCAGCTGTTCTGTCCTATTAAAAGGGTTTGTTTTTGTCGTTCCATCTACTCAAAAGGCATAGTGACAGAAACAGAAGATCTTTCAACTGTTGATCCATTCCTCAAATGCCCAGAAATCCATCCATCCAGTCTCCAACATGGGCAGAAGGGGCCCAAGAATTTAAGCCATCATCCACTGTCCCAGGATGCACTAGCAGGAAGCTGGATTGTTAGTGGAGGAGCCAGGACTCTAAGCAGCACTCTGATATGGGATGTGGGCATCCCAAGCGGTTGCTTAACCTGCATCACAACACTCACCCCTTATTTAAGGATCTAAACTGTTTAATAAAATTGTTTTCTATGTTTCAAAATTCTTCTGCAAGCTTAATATAGTTGTATACTTGCCTGCCTAAAGCAACAGTTTGTCAGTTAAGTTGATGAAATTGATGAGAACTCTGTGTTGAAAATACCCTCCCTACATAGTAAACAGCAGGTTGTTCCTTCTCAAAGAGATCTTTCCATTCTTTGCTCACAACATGATTCTGTGTGTACTCATTATTGAAAAGGACAGAGACTTGAAATCAGACAGAACTGGTTCAAATCCTGCCTCTGCTGTTTCCTGAAATTTCTTTCCTCATCTGTAAAATCAGGGTAATGAGGGTCAGACATTTGGCGCAGCAATTAAGACACCATTTGGGACACCTGCATCCTATATGGGAGTGCCTGGATACAAGCTTCAGCCCTGCTCCCAATTCTAGCTTCCTGCTAACTCCCACCCTGGGAGGCAGCAGCTGATGATTCAAATGCATAGGGTCCTGCCACCCACGTAGGAGACAAGGATGGAATTCCAGGCTCTTGATTTTAGCCTGGCCCAGCCCTGGCTGTTGCAGGCATTTGGAGAGTGGAGCAGTGAATGGAAAAATCAATGTTTCTCTCTCTATCTCTGTGTAGGTCTGCCTTTCAAATAAAATGAAAAAAAAAAAAAAAAAGAAAACCCTTCAACAACAGTTAGGATCATGATAGCTATGTATCTACAGTAGTAAAAATGAATTAGTTAAATAATAAATGCAAAGAGCCTAGCACACTGCCTGATGTGTGGTGGGTAGCTGCTGTTGTCACCTGAATTCACCTTCCTCTGTGTGTGGCTGCTTCCTTAGGGATGGTTCGACTCTCTGAACTCAAATCCACAGTTCAGAATTCCAGGCCCGTCAAGACAGCCACAGCCTTGCCAGATGACATCATCACCCAGCGAGAAGCTGCCCAGGGGGCCCAGGAGGAGGCCGAGCAGGAGGAGGACCCAGCTGAGCAGGAGACAGAGGTGGAAGAAGCCCAGCCTCGGAAGCGGAAGCCAGCCCGACTGCTGGACAAGGCCCCAAGGGCGGAGTCTGAGGAGAAGGTCCGAGGGAAGAGGCAGAGGGATTTTGATTTGTCAGAGCAGAATGAATCCAGCGATGAGGAGAGCCAGAAAAAAGACAGAAACGGGGCAGCTGAGGAGCCGTGGACTCAGAATCAGCAGAAGCTGCTGGAGCTGGCATTGCAGCAGTACCCCAAGGGGTGCTCAGAGCGCTGGGACAGAATCGCCAAGTGCGTCCCGTCCAAGAGTAAGGTGGGTGCAGGGGCCTGGGAAGGGCCTTTTCACAGGTGTGATGATCCTGCAGCTGCTCTACCTGCTCTTCTTCCACCCTGTTCTCTGTCTTTTGCTTACTGTTAAGGCGGTCTCCCATCAACCAGTCCTCTGCTAGGACATTTCTCCTGCAGCCTGTGAGTCCATGCCCTTGGGTGCCAGGTGTGTGTAGACGAAGTTGGGGTTCCAAGCTGAGTGGTTACACGGTCCCGGAGAAAATTCAGTGTGCAGCATAAACTTCACCCACTCCAGCCTGCCTGCCTGAGAATCTGCATTTTGCGAAGCGGGGGCTGGGCCTGCAGGCTCTCTACACAGCCAGGCAGGAGAGGGGTCTGGCTTTGTACCAAGCCTCCCCCCAGGAGGCTGGGGAGCGCAGGTGGCACTGGCAGCCACAGGACATTGCTTACAGGTCTCAGGTGGAATTTTCGTTTGGGGTCAAGTGTGACACTGACGTCTGGGATTCGGCTTGGGCTCTACGACCAGGGCTGTTTACAATGGAAGTGTCTTTTGTTTATAGCTGAAAGAGTTCACAAAAACCCAGATGGGAGGAAAGCCGAGGTGTAGCCCCTGGAGAGCCAGGGCTTCTCTTGGCACAGTCCGACCATGCAGAGCTTCAGGGTGATCTCAACTCGAGCCTTTCCCGACCCACACTGTCTCAGGGACGTCTGTCCTTGTGGTCTGAGGCAGTGGGAGCACTAAGAAATCACAGCCACCAGCCCTCTGCCTGTGTCTGTCCTGTGGCAGCCTCTGGGCTGGCTGATGTTTACATTTTTTTAACTGAAATTCTAGCTGGAAGATCTGGCTGTGGCCATGCACTTCCCCTGAGTTACCTATCACCCACTTTAAAATCATGAAGTTGGGAGTTCCTGAGGAGAAAAAGAAAATATTATTAGTTGATGTATTTGGAAAGCAAGATTCTCCCATCCTCTCCAGCTCACTTGCCAGGAGTTATTTTCCCTGCATTCCTCTGGCATCTGTCAGGACACAGGCATTTACATGTGTGATGAATTGACATTGGCTTAAAATGAAGGAGTTGGAACTGAGGATGCCTAAAGATAGAATGAACACTCAGCACTCATTGCCACAGGGTTGGAAACCTTCCCGTGTTCAACCAGAAATGAGCAGGGTTTTGTTGGCTTGCAGGTGTGCCCCCTGAGCCCCGACTTCAGAAGCAGGTATGGAGGCTCTGGCCACTGGCTCCAGTGCTCTGAGGCAGGCTGCAGTGGCTTCTGCCAGCTGCCATGTAAGAATCGTAGGCCTACAGGCAGAGCCTGTGCCTGAGCCTGCTAGGCCCAGAGCTCAGGACCCACGCCCTCCTTCCCAGTAAGTGCAAGGCCTGGCTTCATTCAGTGTCATGTACTACACAGTTAAGGGGCAGCATAGCTACAAAGGAAAGACAGTTTTTTTTTTGTTTGTTTTTTGTTTTTTAATTATTTTATTTGAAAGGCAGAGACAGATAGAAAAAGATCTTCCATAAGCTGATACATTTCCCTAAAAGCCTGTAACTGCTGGGGCTGGACCAGGTCAAAGCCAAGAGCCATAACCATGTGAGTGGCAGGGACCCATATTTGAATCATCACTTGCTGCCTCCCAGGGTAATATGAGCAATAAACTGGCATCAGAAGCAGAAGTGGGTTTTATCGGACACTGCAATACGAGATGCAGCTGCAGAGGCCCCAAGCAGTGTCTTACTGGCTGCCCCACAGCTGGTATTTTTAGGCAGTCTTTGGGCATACAGAGAAGACTTTTAGAAGAGACTTTTGTAACACTACTAAGCTAAAATTCTAGGAAGAAGACAAGCGTCATTCCTTGTCCAGGGTTCCTGATAGTCACCTTCTCTAGGGCAGAAATCACTTTATGCTTTAGCCAGCAAAGGCCAATATTACCACGGACTAGAACCTTCTGAACAAAAACAGAATAGATTCCGGAAAGAACTTTGTGATCATGTGAGAATAATGAGGTCCCTCCCCACCATCCTGAGGGCTCCCTGCCCGGCCGAGGTGACAGAAGAGGCCGCTGAGCTCTGTAGCTTGATGGTGAAGTGTTCTGGGAAAAAAAGGAAGTGTTCCTCCCTTACAGTGCATAGGCAGGGACTGATGAGGCCCACCCAGGAGGTCTCTGCAGGCCCCAGTATTGTGGCTGCTGCCTACAAGTGTTTTGGTTTCTCTAAAGTGGCGTGTGGTGATGAAAGAGTACAGTATTAACACGATAATTAGAGTTCGAAGGTTAAAAGTCAAAATCATCATAATGATGACATGTCTCACAAACCCGATTAGCACCTTCGCCTTGGGTCGGACTGCAGCAGACCAGCCCGAGTGGCCCAGAAAATTCCAAGAGGTCCTGGGCAATGGGAAGGCACATGGGGCCTCCTCTTTAGACTGGGCACAAGCCACCGAGCAGGCCCCAGCAGCTACCCACAAGGCGGCCACAGCAACAGTGGAAGTAACTGTTCTCACCTCTCTTTTTTCCTTCCTACAGGAAGACTGTATCGCTAGGTACAAGTTGCTGGTTGAACTGGTCCAAAAGAAAAAACAAGCTAAAAGCTGAATATTCTGGAAGATGATGTTCATCTTCATTTTCCAAATGAGTATTTTTAAAATCTTATGCAGAAATATGCATTTTGTACCTCAGTGTTTTCTATACGTCATGTGCCTTAGTAAAATTAAATAAATAAGCAAACAAACAAGTGGTGTGCTATATTGTTTAAACAAATGCTGTGTTAAAGGGGTAAAAGGCTTGGGGTATGTTGCAGATTATGGGATCTCTGGAAACTGCAAAGTGAACATTAGGGAACAAGCCAATAGTGTTTTCTGAATGTCAGGCAGATATGTTTTTGCAGAGAATGTGTGATACACTAATGTGTAAGAACTCAATGTGGTTCTCTAAAGCCATGACCAAAAAACACACACTAGTTATTGTCGCATGGGGAGGGCAAGAACACCAGGCTAGGGGCTGGTGCTATGGCACAATGAGTTAAAGCCCTGGCCTGAAGCGCCGGCATCCCACATGGGCGCTGGTTGGGGTCCCAGATGCTCCACTTCCGATCCAGCTCTCTGCTATGAACTGGAAAAGCAGTGGAAGATGACCCAGGCCCTTGGATCCCTGCATCCACGTGGGAGATCTAGAAGAAGCTCCTGGATCCTGGCTTCAGATTGGCTCAGCTCTGGCTGTTGTGGTCATTTGGGGAGTGGACCAGCAAACAGAGGACCTCTCTCCCTCCCTGCCTCCCTCACTCCCTGCCTGCCTCCCTCCCTCCCTCCTCCCCCCACTGTGGCTCTCTGGCTCTCTGGCTCTACCTCTGGCTCTACCTCTGTAACTCTGCCTTTCAAATAAATAAAATAAATATTTACCAAAAAACAAAAAACACCAGGCTAGTATGCAGCTGGCTGGCTAGGAACAGCATGAGCTTATCTGAATGAGGTGTGTGTGTGTGTCTAGGGAGAAGTCTAAATAAACAAGGACCTATGTTAGGGAGCTTGCTAAAAACATATCCCCAGGTGGCAGAATTTCCAACAGGAAGTTTTAGGAACTGATGAAATTGGGTTGTCTCTTTCAACACCTAAGTTAAATATCAGTGTTTTGTGCTATGAATGTCTATTAAAGCCTCTCATGCTATCTGTGTTTGAACTGTCCTCATCAACCAAGACTTTTTTTAGATTTTTTCTTTGAAAGGCAGAGTTAGAGAGAGAGAGAGAGAGAGAAATAGACATATCTTCCATCTGGTGATTCACCCTCCAAATGGCCGCAATGACCAGGGCTGGGCCGGGGTGGAGCCAGGAGCTTCTTCCGGGTCTCACAGGTGGGTACAGGGGCCCAGGGACTAGGGCCGTCTTCCACTGCTTCCCCAGACACATTAGCAGGAATCTAGATCAGAAGTGGAACAGCCGAGACTCGAACTGACGCACATACGGGATGCCAGTGTCACAGGCCATGGATTTACCCGCTTTACCACAACACCAGCCCCCAAGGCTTCTTTTTTAAAGCTTCTGTCATTTGCTCAAGGCTTGGAAATAGTTGGATGAAGGCTACATGCCTAGATTTGTGAACATTAAGATAACTGGGACACATATAAGGGGATTTACTTGATGAAATATGTTAGTATCACTTAATTTTTAAAAAATTTGTTTTTGTTTATTTGAAAGGCAGAGATGGCAGAGATTGAGGGTTGGAAGAGCGGGGAGAGAGATCTCATATCCGCTGATTTATTCTCCAAATGGCTGCAGCAGCCGGAGCTGGGCCAGGCTAAAAAGACAGGAGCCAGGAACTCCATCAGGGTCTTTCATGTGGGTGGCAGAGGCCCAAATACTTGGGCCATCATCTGCTTCCCAGTAGGAATCAGAAGTGGAGCTGGGTCTGGAACCCAGGCTCTCCGATATGGGAATGCCGGCATCCCAAGCAGCATCTTCATGACTGCCAGACGCCTCTGTCTTTGAGACATCATTTATTTCCAAGGATTGAAATGAAGATTTTGTTTCCTGGAACAAAGTGTGGGTGGAGAGGTCCTCACACCCCTGCATAAAGCAGGACTTGCAGCCGGGGAGCCCAAGCCTGGCCTAATGTCCAGCACACAGCTCCTGTGTGAACTTTGTGGGGTACGTCCAGCTTAGACAAGCACCCCAATTCCAAAAGAGCAGCTGAACCATGGGAAAAAAAGCAGCTAATAGCTGAGGGACCGTGTGGTTTTCACTGACTGCCCGAGTCACGGGGCAGCAGCCATGGGCAGCCTCAGCGCCAAGGAGAAGGGGAAGCAGCTCCTGCCTGGCAAGGAGCCACACTGACACGAACATGGCTGCCAGCGTCTGGTCCCAAGGTCCCAGGAACGCTGGTAAGCAGCCAGAGCAGGGCCAGTCCCGGGGGTGGCCCAGGACAGACAGCGCCTCCCGCAGCAGCTGGTGCGAACTGCAGGGCCTTATTGCGCATTCCGTGCTGGCCATGCCTTGCCTCCCACCTCTACCTTCATCTGAGGTTTCTTCAGAGAATAAGACTGGTACACGGAGAGAACAAAGGAGACAACTGCTGTCCTGGCTGCAGTGAGAGCCCTCGGTCCAGCCTCAGGCCCGTCCGCAGGCAGCATGGACATCCTGTGAGCATCCTTTTTTGATGGAAGGTACCTCGACTGGCACTTGTGTCAGACCTCCCCACCCCCTCCCCACACAATCCCCCATCGCATAGTTTCTGGGTTTGGGGGCCAAAGGTGCTTTGAGATAAAATTGAGGATGAAATCCTTTAACTTGCCTACTATCCCCATCTTTTCTAGACTCCCTGGGAGAAGAAGGCTCCAGCATGGTTTTCCCCTGATGCTTGTCTCTGCCTTCCAGGCCAGAGCCCAGCCTGCGTGGCTTTTCTGCTGGGGACTCTGGGAGCTGAAGAGCTTGGCTGAAGTAGAACCAGGGGCCAGAGCTCCCGGAGCACAGCCACGGCCAGAAGCAGGTGAGAACAGCCACACTGGGTCATGGTCAAGAAAACGAGTATGCCTCCAAAGGAATGCAGTGAACACACTGCCTGGGACCGAGAGCTAGAGTTCTCCCAGGCAGCCCTCGCTGCGGGCTCTGCTAGCTTCCTATTTGCCAGTCCCAAGAAAACGCCCTGCCGTGTCCTGCCCAGGAGCTGCCCTCCCCGCCGCCACCTGCCCCACTGGTCTTTCGCCTGCTTTTCTGTTCTCACTGCCTTTCTCATGAGAATCAGCTTCTCTTTCCTCCCCCTTTCTCCTCCCCCTTTTCTCCACCTCCTTTCACTTTTTTAGAGGGGAGGGAAGAAGCTGGCCGTGGGCACCGCTGTGCCACCCTTGTTGGTCTGTGTTAGATGAGGCGTGACTAAATATGAGCAGGAACCGTCGTGGCCCACTGCATTCAGCACAGACCCGGAGTCACAGCAGGGCCGGCCTACAACCCTGTGAGGTCTTGCGTGGACGTGGGACTCATTGAGGGGTAGTCCTCAAACTCACAGTGCAGCCTTATGCATATTCTCAGTCCTGGGCATAACATCAGGCTTTGGAGCAGGAAACTGAGGGTTGCAAACAGCCAAAAGCCACTCTTAGGAAGGGCGCTTTGTGTGCAGAACCACCTGTCTCCAGCCTCGGCTCGAGAGCCTCGCTGATGTCTGGTTCCTTTGCAGGTGGCCTTGTGCATGGCCACATCCGTGTGCACCTGTGGCATCAGACCTGGTTGGAGGTGGTGGACACTGGCTGCCCCGGTGTCCGCCAAGCTATGTGACATCAGGTGTGTTTTTTTCCTTCATTGTCTCAATTCCTGACCTGGAGAAACAGAATGGCAGCTGGTGCATAGGTTGCTTGGATGAAAACATGAGATCTTGCTGGTGTAATGCAATCCATTTGAGAGGTTACCTTTTTTTTTTTCCATTTTACTTGAAAGAGCATCAGAGAGAGGAGAGGAGCGAGCGAGAAATCTTTCATCCACTGGTTCACTCCCTAAATGGCCACAACAGACAGGGCTGGGACAGGCTGAAGCCAGGAGTCTGGAATTCCACCTGTGTCTCCCATGTGGGTGGCAGGATCCCAGGTACTTGGGCCATTCTCCACCGCTTTCCTCAGTGCATTAACAGGGTGCTGGATTGGAAGCAGAGGAGCTGGGACTCGAACTTGCCCTCTGATGTGGGATGTTGGTATCATAAGTGGCAGCTTAACCCTCTGTGCCACACCAGCCCCAAAGTTTCCTTCTGACAGCCTGGGCTCCTCTCCCCTTCATTTCTATGTGGCTGTCCCTGCTTTTGGAAGAGCAGATGGACCAGAATCAGGGTTCTCAGTGTCTGGGACTGGGGGGTGGACTGGCACAGGCTGGGGCCAGGGAACAGTGTCTGGAAATCCTGATAATGCAAAATATTCTCAGATCTCAGACCTTTAGTGCTTTGAAGAAAGGGTCTAAGTATGTCTCTCAACACATCCTCCCTAAAGCCTAACAGACTGTGCTGGGCTTTTTTTTTTTTTTTTTAAGATTTATTTATTTGAAAAAGCTACACAGAGAAGGAGAGGCAGAGAGAGAGAGAAGGAGAGGCAGAGAGAGAGAGAGAGAGAGAGGGCTTCCATCCGTTGGTTCACTCTCCAATTGGCCGCAACGGCTGGAGCTGCGCTGATCTGGAGCCAGGAGTCTCTTTCAGGTCTCCCACACGGGTGTAGGGATTCAAGGACTTGGGCCATCCTGTACAGCTTTCCCAGGCCATAGCAGAAAGCTGGACTGGAAGTGGAGCAGCCAGGACTCAACCCAGCGCCCATATAGGATGCTGGCACTGCAGGCAGTGGCTTTACCCACTACGCCACAGAGCCGGTCCCTGTGCTGTGCTTTTTACTCCAACGCACCCCAAGTGGGGCAAGCATGGCGTGGCAGACAAAGCTGAGGCTGAGCCGCAGGCAGACCTGGACACCTTACTGTGGCCTGCCTCTAGCGCTCATTTCTTTCCCCAGCTTGCTCTCCAAAGTCGGAGTCAAAGACCTATATTTGAAACTTGAACCAAGAGCATGGAGGAGGTGCAGGGACCGGTACCTGCTAAATGGTTTGGAAAGGGTGTTCAGTGGGTAAGGAGGCTGGGATAGCGGAGGGGAGGCAGGCACAGATCCATCCAAAGTCCCCATCCACTCAGCCCCTGCAGGGCCAGAGTGGCAGATACTTCTGGCACTGGCTTCTCCGGCACATCCTCCCTGTCCTGGATCCTTGCTGCTGGGCAGAGTGTGTGCTATGCCAGGAGCTGCAGCTTTGCCATCTTTGCCTCCATCTTGAGAGACAATTCAGTATTTTTTTCCATTAACAAATTAAATGTACTCTTCCTATGGTGGGGCAGAATCTTAGCATTATCATTTCTTTAAGCATTTCTAGCTCCAGTTTTTAAAAAACACTGATGGGTCATCTGGTTCATCCTCAGAGAATCCAGCAGGGTGGACAGCCTGTGGCTCCCCCATGGCAGGTGGGGTCAGGAGCATGCCCGATGTGCAGGCTGAGCTGGGTTCTTCCCTAGTGGGGCACTAGCATCACAGTCACTGCCCGAGAAGGCTCTGATCAGAAGGAGCTGGGTGGGTTTAGTCAGCAGATCAAATTGCTTTGATTTCCAGCAAATCATCCTGCAGCCTTCTCATTCCTTGACTGGGCCACACCTGCTTAGCAGGTACCTCTAGCCACTAGAGTAAGGTCTTGTTTAAAGTGGAATATGGTAGCCCGTGGATTTTTTTTTACTCTTTCATTGGTGTGTTTTCCAATTCCTGTCTCTGTTTCAGAAGGAAAACTTGTAATACACTTCCCATCCTCAGTGCTTCTAGATAGCTTTAAAACAGGCCTTGTGCTACAGGGCTGTTTATTATTATTATTACTCATTTATTCATTTAAAAAGCAGTGACAGATAAAGAAATATCTTCCATCTACT